TTATATAGACCAGGCTGGCCTCAAGCTCACAGAGATCCTCCTGCCTCTGCCTTCTGAGTGCTGGAATTTAAAGCATCACCAGTACACCTGGAGACTTCCATATTTCTAAGATGGCTTCTTAGGTAAATAAAACATAAATGCATTCTCATTGTACAATTTAAATAATATAGAAACATTTAGTGTAGTAGCTATAGAAGTCTCTCAAAACAGGCCCCAAGTCTCAAATTGCATTCTTTCCTCCCTGGGCAGCTCTAGGAGACAGGTGTCTTCTCAAACATTACCTGTGTGTTTATGTCCGTGTGCGCTTGGTTCTATCAGTGACAAGGCTTGACACAGTCACCTGCCTGCTCTCAATAGCTTTCTCCCCGTCGCGATTTGTTTTGGAGAGAGGCCAGTGTGAGTTCCCTAATGGTGGACATTTAGCTTGTTTCTAATTATTTGGTCTTACAAACAGCACTATAATTAACATCCTTGTAAATGTCTCTTTGTGCATATGGGCAAGCATTTCTTTAGGGTAGCTATCTATGGTTTGGCAATTTCTACTGCCTTTAATTGCATTGCCTGGTATCTGGCAGACGATCTTCTGCATGTACAATAACTTTTCGTGTCCATGCACCATTATAGTGTAAGTTTTAAAAAAGATGTTTCAGGCAACAATTAGGAATCTAAGTTTGAGCTCAAGTTCTGTGTGGATTGCTGTGGTCGGCTGAGGTGACAAGTGAATGAAGCAATCGTCTTCCCCGTCGTTAAATCCACAGGGGTTCTGTCAGTTATGTTGGGTAGGAGACAAGGTTCCCCTGCACCCTGACAGCCATTATGATTTTGTGTGTGTATGCATGTATGTGTGTGTGCATGTGTTATACACTCAGGTGCCACAGCACCTGTGTGGAGGTTCAAGGACAATGTGTAGGAATCGGTTCTCATGAAGACTCCAGGGACCTAACTCAGGTTGTTAGCCTTGGTGGCAAGTGCCTTTACCCACTGAGACATCTCACATGTCTATACCTTGTATTTGGAATCAGAGATGCTCAATGACACCTAGTGTTCACCTATTAGGTTAGTCAGACTGGCCAGCAAGCCATAGGCATCCTCCTGTCTCCACTTCCTCAGCATTGGGGGTTCAGGCATATACCACCACACATAGCTTTTTACATGGGTTCTAGGGTTGAACTCAGGTCAACCCTGGGCAAGCACATTACCAACTGTACCATTGCCCTGGCCCCACACATCATAACTTTTAGGATGCAAGGTGTGAAAAATGTATCTCAGAGTTGAGGAGTTATGGGATCTCATATGGGAGCCTATGGTTCCTCGTGAGTGTGTCTGAACAGTCCTCCCCCTGGACGGGCTGATGCACCTGCCCGCCAGCTTCTGACAGGTGTGTGCTGCTTGCCCAGGCCACACTGATCTCTCGTTTGTTCTGTGTGAGCTCAGAGATAGGCTTCTCAGAGAGGAAGCTGAACGCTTCCCTTAACTTCCTGCTGCTCTTTCCGTTTCTCACATTGTCCCTTTGACTCTGGATGCTGCCTTGTCAGCTCTTCACTGTCTGCATGGTTTTGCATGGCAGTGGGTCCATGCAAGAACATCTGTGGCAGTCAAGAGTGCTTTGTCATTCCCTCCCCCCCGTTTCATGATGTCTCCCCGTATTGCTCCGGTGTCAGTCATGCATGAGTCTTGAATGGTGTCGATCTGAGTTGAAAATGTGCCAGTTTTTGTAACATTATCGCTAATCGACTGCTTAATTAACCTGCTGATATTGTCGATGATAGATCTGTTAGTGTGTCAAAAGGGAGACCCATGCATATCTTTTCTCTCCCTGCCCCCCATCTCTCTCTCTCTCTCTCTCTCTCTCTCTCTCTCTCTCTCTTTCTCTCTCTCTCTTTCTCTCTCTCTCTCTGGGATGGGATGGGATGGGAGATATCTGGGAAGGTCTCTGGGGGAACTGGAAGAATTGAAGGTCCAGATGAGATGGTTAAAGTGCAGTTCCTACTTGGGGCATGTGTCCTTATTTGTTACTGGGGATGATTTCTTCTGGGGCTGGTTGTAACTAGACAACCATTGTAGAGGCAACAGAAAAGATTGAAAGGCACATGCCATCTGCATAGCCAAAACGCTGTCCTGGTGGGGGCTACTTTTACTTTGACATTGGTTATCTCTTTTTTTTCCATCCAGGTAGCTTAAATGACAGGGCCCTTGTTCTCCAGTGACATCCTGGAGAGAACTGTTGAGAGACAGATGCAGGCTGGGCCTCACTTTCTTTTGTGATCTTTAAAGGGTTAACACAGGACTCGTATAGCCCTGGCTGGTTTGGAACTCAATCTGTAGCTGAAGATGACTTTGAACTTACAGTCCTCCTGCCTCTGCTTCCCTCTGGAGTGTTAGAATCCCAGGTCCACGTCACCACTCCTGGTTGTACTTTTTTTTTTTTTTCACATGTAATTCTCTGTCCTGCAGTCCTTACATCCACACTTGGAAACTGGAGAGAAAGTCAGTTGCCGCCCTGCTCCTGAACTGGCCCATCTTCACCTTCAAGGCCTGCCTCCCCTCTCTCATCAGCCCCTATTCTATGTAAACACACACAGTGGGGCCTGTAGTCATTTAAGCTTCCTCCTGCCTTCCAGACCTGGTGGGTGCAGAGGCTGGCATTCAGTGTGAGTGTAGCCTGTCCCCTGAGATCTGGAGATCCTGAGTGCAGTACTGGGAATGACCAGCAGGAGGGACAGGACTCACGGTCTCCTGCTTGGAGACCACAGTTGTGTGACCTTGCCAGGAACAGCCGTGCTGGAAGTGGAAGGCATTCTTGAGGGTAGGGGTCCACCCTCTCAGACAGAAAACCCTACTTTCTCACTCAATGATGCATGTCTTTTCAGAAGTCAGGACCTGGCAGCTCAAAGGCCAAAGAGGTTGCAGAGTATCTCTGAGGCCACTAGAGGGCAGATCACCAACAGAAGCCAGGAGCTGCTTCCCAAGGCCACCCTAAGAGGCCTGTTTGGGTCCTGGGCATTCTAGGTCTATCAGGAGCTCACCTTTGAGACCGAGCAAACAGAGAGAGACAAAGTCAGGAATGAATCCCACGCCAGGTGCACCTTGCCCATCTTCCATGGCCTCCCCTCTCACCCCAAGTCTTTACCTCAGACCCACCTTCCTAATTCTGCCTTTGGATGTGGCTGAGGTAAGGGTTTCTCAGACACTGTGGAAACTACATTCTGTAGGCTGAGGCAGGATAATTGCCAGTTTGAGAATGGTCTGGGCTATATGGAGAGACCCCATCTCAAAACAAGCCAGGGTGTGAGTTTTTCTGTCAAGGCACTACTGGCTTTGGGGGCCAGGTAATTCCTTGTTGTAGGAATGTCCTGTGCATTGTAGTGTCATTCCACAGAAACTGTGTTTCAAAGCATCACTGTGTCTGCCAGCTATGTGCCAGGAACACCCCCACCCCAATCCCCAAACCATGAATAATAAATCACAATCTCCCTACTGCTTAACCAGGTAAATGTGAGTATTGTGGGGGCAGGAGCCATGAGGCTTGAGTCCTTGCCACAGAAGGTCTGCCATGGCGAGCGTTGATCAGCGTCGTGTGGAAACAGTGGAGACACTCAAAGATAGCATATGTGCTCGAAATACATTTCAGAGCTTGTTTGCTCTCCGGCTTTCCCTCTCCAAAGGCTGCAGTGCCTCCTGGTCTTCGCCTCAGCTTATTCCACCTCCCTACTTGATTACAATAGGACAGTGAGTCGCAGGGACCCCCGCTTCCCACAGCAGCCTTCACCTGCAGAGTCATGTCCCCAGCTGTGAGCACCCTGCACTGCTGGGCTCCCCAGCCCTTGGCTCAGGTCCCAGGAGCATCTGTGGGCTCTCTCCCACTCCACTTGCCCACTGAGCCCCACCACCCTCCAGCTCCCCAAACCCGGGTGCCCCCCCACTGGAGAGGGGGAAGCAGCAGGTGTTGATGCTAATCAGCGTTCACAGCCCAGAACTGCAGTCGCTCCCAGGCTCACACACTCCCCAAAATTAAACACTCATTATACAAAATTAATTGACATTAATTAGCAAAAATTAAAACTTTAAACACAGCAAGGCGCTTTGGGGGGAGGAGTGGAGCAGGCAGGCTCTGCATTTGTCACCCCCCACATTTCCCACCACCCACCTACCACCCCCAAGTCTCCCCATTTCCATCATGAAGCGGGGCTGGAGGACTTCAGGCCAGATCTATATCAGTACGCGGCCATCGGAGGCCTGGCCTGTGAGTTCCTGTGAAGGGGATCAGGGATCAGTACACGGCCATCGGAGGCCTGGCCTGTGAGTTCCTGTGAAGGGGATCAGGGATCAGTACGCGGCCATCGGAGGCCTGGCCTGTGAGTTCCTGTGAAGGGGATCAGGGATCAGTACGTGGCCATCGGAGCCTGGCCTGTGAGTTCCTGTGAAGGGGATCAGGGCAGCTGTACCAGCCGCCTTCATCTAGTGCTCCTCTAAGGAAGCTCCTGTCAACCTTAGGTCCTCAAGATCTCAGCTGAGACTAAGGAGAGGTGTGGCCAAGTGGAGCAGCTCAACCACTGGAAGACTGTGCTTGCTCCCCCAAGATCCCGTCTCTGGGTACCTGAGGTTCAGGCCCCAAAGCCTTTCCACTCTGTTCCACTTTGCTGTGTGATTTCACTTAAGTCACTCTTGCTCTCTGAGCTTGTGTCCCAGGGGAATATGTCTCGGGGGGCCAGAGAGCGTTCTCTGCACACACATCTGCTTTCCCTGCCTGAAGACCAGGCCCAGAAGAGAAGTGAGCAGCGCCCTCTATAGGTGGCAGCATCCAAAGCCTTCGCCATATTTCCACCTGTTACTTTTGGTCTATGCTTCCTGGGTCTCGAAGGGGTCAGAAAGCAAAACAGAGGACTCCACCTTTCTAGACTCACAGAACTCTTGGGGATTGGGAGCCATGACTGGAGGGTGGAGCCAGGTGAGAAGCTATCCATGCCTCACTACCCTTCTCTGTATACCTTTCTCTCCAGCCAGTGCCAATATCTGCAACGTGGTCCTGATGCGGTATGGGGAGTTAGAGGAAGGGATTGATGTCCTGGATGCCGATGGTAACCTCGTGGGATCCTCGAAGATTGCAGCCAGACATGTGGGTTTCCCGGGGCTAAGCCCTGCACGAACGGACTGATGCTCCTGTAGATAGCCTGTGTATTCCCTGAGGTCTTCTTGTCATAGAACCTTGGCTTGCCTCTCTAGCTGTTTCCTCCTCCTCATTCCAGTTGCCATCTCTCATCTGTGTGAGCCCTTGGCCTCAAAGACTGCTTCCCGTCAGGCTTGTTCTCCTAACAGTCCTTCACTGGTCTCCAACCTCCTCCTTCTTGTCTCCACTGTGAAATGTCCCCATTTTTTATCCCAGCCCCTCAGGACCCAGCTCTTCCTCGGAGGTGTTAATTGGAGAGGGCAGAGGAGCTTCCCCAGGGCTTTCTCTCCATGCCCTAGGCCTTCGCAACTTTGTGGGTTGTGAATGGGACACTGCGGGCAGTGGTATGAGGGCCGTTAGCTCTCTGCGAGCAACAGTGCTGTGAATGCTGGGGCTTCAGGCTGTGGGAGATGCTGTGGCTCCTGCTAATGGTTCCTTATAAGGCCCTCTTCACTAGCCCTGCCCACTATAGCGCTTGTGTTTTACACACACACACACACACACACACACACACACACACTCACCAGTATACATGTCCTGTGCTTTCTCAGCCTTCCTGTTGATGATGGTTGGTGTCTTGTCCTGCTGTCCTGGGTTCTAGCTTGTGAGTCATGGGAATGAAACAAAGGGTGGGCTTGAGGGGACAAAGCATCACACATGTACCAGTCTCTGTTGCTTGGCAAACACCTTGTTGATAAGCCTCTGAGCTTCTCTTCCTTCTTCATCCATCTCAGGGGGAAGTCAGGGCCATTTAGATCCTGTAAGGGCCAGGACTGGATGCCATGCTGGCAGTACACTGTTTGTCCGCTGCCCTGGCTCTCACCCTTCACGTCCTGCCCACAGGCTCCCGTTCTGACACCTAGGAAGACCCTCTTCCTGGATTACTATCAGCCCGTCTCTCATTAGGGGGAATCTGCCCTACTCTTTCCCAACCCCGCCCTTTCATGGTGCCCTATGAGGACAGTAGAGGTGACAGTGCTTCATTCACCCCTAAATGGGGTGACAGCCCATTCAGGTAGGTCACCCAGCTCCTCTGCAGCCCCAGGCTTCTTTCAACCTTGCTTGGCCTATCTCTGTCTCATTGGAGAGATTTGGGGGTCTATGAGTTGTGAGGCATTCCTGGGCATTCCTCTAAGAGCAGGAGCCTGTGATTCAAAGGGACTCTGGACAGTGGCTGTCCAAACACAAATGCCCCTTAACTGGGCCTCAGGCTATGTCTCCCACAATCCCATGGAATCCCAAGCAAACCCCAGGGCAGATCTCCATTGGATCCTGAACATACTCATCCAAAGCTTGTGCCCCTTACAAAGCTGGCCTTTTCTTACCAAGGCTGTAGCTCAGTTGTAAGAGTACTTACCTAGCACACACAAAGCCCTGGGTTTCTATACCACATAAATCAAGCTCACACTTGTGATCTTAGCACTCAGAGGATGAAGGCAAGAGAGTTTGAGGTCAAGATCATTCTCAGCTACATAGTTCAAGGCCAGCCTGGGAATATAGAAAGAAAAAAAAATAAAAAATACTTAGAGCCAGGAGACAAAGATCCTACATATCTTTGTCTTTAAGGGATGTATTTTTAAAAAGTAGCCCACAGCTTCATTCAGCCTGGGAGCCCCCTAACTCTGCAAGCTCCAGCAATTTGTTCTGGCTTTGTTTTGACAGCATCTTAGGCCCTGTGTGTACCATTTCCCCAACCAATGATCCCTCTACACCCCAGGCTGGGGAGGCTATCCTCAGCTACCCTTCCCCCATACAGAGACTCTGCTCTTCTCAAAGGCTTGTGAGGGAGGGTGGGGCAGTGTCATCTGTTGTCTGGAATCCAGCTCTGTGAGCGCTGCTGTGAGCCAGCCCAGGCTGCCAGATGTACTGAGCAGCAGTGTATACACCTCACACTTGGGGTGGGATTTGCTTCCCTAGTGGATGTTCCTAGCCCCAAGCTCTCCACTCACCCCAGCCTGTCCCCATCCTCAGGCCCTGCTGGAGACAGCTCTGACACGTGTGGTTCTGCCTATGCCCATCCTGGTGCTTCCTCCAATCGTCATGTCCATGCTGGAGAAGTAAGTCAGGCTGTGGGAACAGAGGGGATGCTGGGTAGGGAACCATGGCACCCTACCTGGTGTGCTTCTGGGGATGGGAGGCATCTACTCTGTCTTCTTCTGTACTGGACAGTGGTGTTGAAACTTTTCCCATGCAGTTGGCTGGTGCTCAATGCTGTCAGCTCACTCATGGAAAAGCATGGTTCTGCCCTGGTGGAGGGACAGGGTAGCTGGCAGTTTTGGTGGGAATCTGTGTGACTCTGTGAATGTAAATGTGTATGCATGAACACACTCTGTTAGTGAGCAGCCTTGGCCTGTTGTAAAGTCAGTCTAAGATAGGAAGCCTACATCTGCAACCTCCCTGAGCCTCTAATTATAAGACTAGACCAGTATAGGCTGACTGTGGCTCACTCTTGCCATCCAGACGATGAGGCAGACTTGCTGTGAGTCTGAGATAACATGGGGCACATGGTGAGTTCTGGCCAGCCTGGGCTACATTGTTAAGATCTTGTCTCCAAAACCAACAACCAAAAACAGAAAAAGTAGGCTGGGAGTGGTGGCATCTGCCTTTAATCTAAGCACTCAGGAGGCAGAAGTATATGGATCTCTGTGAGTTCAAGGCCAGCATCATCTATATAAAGAGTCTCAGGCCACATGTCTTTTTAAAAATTAATTAATTATAGTAAATAAAAAGTGGAATAATAATAATCTCCTTGGGTCCTTCAAGAGGATGATCAAACCATAACTATCTGTCATGTCTCTGTCCATAAGATACAGGGGACACCACAATGCTAATGAAAGAGAGCTCCTATTATTAGCACACACAAAGCCCTGGAAACCAGGCTGGGCTCGAACTCAGAGATCTTCCTACCTCTACCTCCTGAGTGCTGAGTGCATGTGCTGCCGCCACCCGGTTGAGAGCTTCTGCTAATTTATTGGTGCGTGTATAATAGGAGGATGAAGATTGGGGTGCAGCTGGAAAATGGCTGAACAGAGAAGGAGGGAAGAACCGGGGTCCACCTGCCTATAGAGGCCACGCAGGCCTGCTGAGGGGCAGGGAAGGGCCCTGGGTGAAGCCAGAGGCAAAGAGCTGGCTGGTGCATGCATATCTGACAAGCAGGTAGACGCCCCTCCCTCTTGTGGGGACTCAATAGGATTCAGTATGCTTGAAGCAAAGCATGCCCACTAGGACAAACAGACGAAGGTCCTAGACACCCACAGGAGAGGCCTTTCAATCCCAGAAATGGGCAGAGCCTTTGTATCTGAGCATTAAGATTAAAAACTATTAATCTGGAACAGGTATGGTGGCCTAGAACTCAGAAGGATGAAGCAGGAGGATTACCATGTGTTTGAAGACGGTCTGGGTACATAGTGAGTTCCAGCCCAGGCTAAAATGCGGGACTTTGTTTTGAAAACAGTTTAACAAAAAGGGGGGAGGGAAGAAAAAAAAGAAAGTTAGCATGGAAACTTTCAACAAATAAACAACAGCAAAAAATAGTTTTGAAGAGGACAGTTTTTGTTTATCTGGCCTTGTGTGTAGCCTTCTCCTGTGAGTCTTCTCAGATGAGAGACCCCAACTAAAAGGACAGATATGTAGACCAGGGCCAAGGGAAGAGGGCATGGCTTTCTGTAGTGCTGAAGCCTGTGTTCATTGAAAACTGGTTAGTCACCTGTCACTTGTGCAAGTTTGGTAGGACAGAGCCCTCACCTGGCAGATTAGGCAGAGAAGCTGTTTTACACACACAGGCTTCAAAGGACATCCTGCTCAAGAGAGCTGCTGAGGGAGAAGGAGTCTCATCCCCCCAGGCTGGGGGATCCAGACGCCCTGGGCTAACGGTTCTGTGGCTTGCTAGGAGAAAGTAGGCAAATCCACTGCAGACAGCAGGCACAGGCTAAAGCTCCCACCCTCCTCCCTGTCTGAGCACCCCACATCCTCTGCGCAGTTTCCAGGTACCTGAAAACTACACACAGGAGTGGGGAGAAACCTGGTTCATCCAAGGCCAGCCAGAGGCCCGTCCACCAGCACGGACTGCTGGAGGGGAACATGACCTATGGTGCCTTTCCAGCTTGCACAGGAACCGAGTTTGCAAAAAGTTGAAGGAGGGTTGGCATGCCATTTGCTCCGTGGGCTTAAAGTTTGTTTTAGGAGTTATGGGAGGTGGTGTGGAGATTTTTTTGACTCTGAACCCTCCCCAGCCTAGTGTCTGTAGTGCTGCGTGGTCTCCCACATCCCAGAAGGAAGCTGCCGGGTGGGGAAATGCGAAGTCAGTAGTTGAGGCTCGATGCAGCCTAATAAATAGTTGACCCTTTCCTAGGGCTCTTGGGATGATTTTTGAGGGAGAAGAGTCCAATCCTAGTTCCTTCAGAAATGTTACGGTGGATAAGACTGTACACTCAAAGACTTATTAATCTCATGCCCACTGTGAAACCACAGGACCGGATGGCAGGGGAGGCAGGCACTGGAGCAGAGCCAGCTATGGCCCCTAGTAGGGAAGTATGCTCTTCCAGCCTCAGTTTCCCACATAAAAAATAAGGGCATCGCCCTTCTTGCTCTTCCAGGCTTGGCATTTATCACCACTCCAACATCTCATTTTCCTGCAGGATGGATAGCCATGCTGTCCACAGTTCTTCGGAGCAGGATTTCAGGGTTAATGAGAGGGGGTGGCCCCCACCCTCCTGAGCCAGGTTGGGTGAGGAAGTCTGGACAGCCAGGGAAAATAGACAAAAGCACACTTACAAAGCAGCTGACTTGCAAATTAATGGAGCGCAAAGTAGGGCTGCGCTGAAGTGCTGAAGGAATGCACAGCACTGGGGGGACCAGCTGTTGTGTGGCAGCAGCCTTGCTTGCCTCTGGCCTCAGTCTATCTGTCCTCTCTGGCAGGAGCACTGGGATCTTGAGTCTGGGCCTCCAGCTAGAATTAGACAGAACTGGAAAGAAACTCTGTGTGTCCCATTGTCCTTGCCACTGAGACCAAATGAAGTCTGAAGTGTGAAGTAAGGGACCTCCACCTATGCCGGAAGCACCCCCCCACCCACACACACACCCCTTAAACCTCTTATTCCACACCTTCCCTGTAGACCCTCAGCCAGGAAGCTGAGTTCAGATCCAGGGCTGGGAGGCCCACCGATTCAATCAGTACAGAGGCAGGTGTCAGTGTAGGGACAGAAAGGCTATAGCTTGCTCCCCAAGCCTTGCAACCCTGGCTCAGGATACACTGGGAGAGTGAATGTGGGTAGGTGGAAGCTGGATGAAGGTCTGGCCCCACTCATGGTAGATCCCTGAGTCCGCTCCCCCAGTTCCTTCACTGCCTGTGATCCGGGTCTTCCCTTTTTCCAGGCATTCGCACATCTCTCCATCTGCATATTTTAACTCCCCCAGCTGCCTTTCCAATCCCTGCCTGCCATTTCCCTCTTCTCCCCCTCCCCCCATCCTGCTGTGTTCTCTCTTGGGGGCTCTGGACTAGACTCCCCAGGCTTCCCAAAGGTTGCACCCCTGGGGCTCCCTGGACCCACCTGCATACAAGGGACTTTAGCCTCCCCCGAGAGGAGTCAAGGATAGGAGTTTGTCCAGTGTTACTCCCAGTAAGTCCCAGAGGACCTGTCACCCTTCCCTGCCCTAGGTGACCCTCAGGGCTGTGCCTCCAGGAACTGTACACACTTTGGAGAACTGGCACAGGACCAGGAAGACAGCCCTGAGTCCCAGGCATGAGAAGATGATCAGAGATGGTCTTGGCCTCATTCCAATCTTGCTGTGACCCCACAGGAAACCTAAACTAGAAGGATAGTGGGGTGCTACTCCTCTTGGAGTTGAGCTTGATTTTGGCACCCTTTGTCTTGTTTCTCTTATTCCTTGGGAGACCCCTTACCCCAGTCCCCAGTAACTCAACCTAGGCTTTATCCAACATTCACACAGAGAATGGGGTCTGGGCCAGCCAAGAAGGGCAAGAGAACAATTCTCCCGCCAGGATTTCACATCCTTTGTGCAGGTAGCATTAGCACCAGCAAAGACGATGTACACTTACCTGCTGCTGCGCTGGCTGACCTTTGGATTTGCTTAGAATTGATAAGCAGTTGGGTCTTGGTTAACACCTGAGTGAGAACATGGAAAGGCAGCCGCCTCTCAGAGGTGTGATCTGGAGATTCCTGAATGCCAGTTCCTGGGTCTAATGCCAGCTGAAGGAGGGCCCCATGGAATCAAGAGCCACTCTTAACTAGACCATTCCAGTGTGCACTGAGTCTGAGAACTGCTGCTCTCAACGGCACTGTCTGCTGAGGGGGCAGGTGTTCTCGAATTTGCCCCAGAAGGTAAGAGTGAGAGGGGCTTTGCCTGCCCCCATCATTGGAACTCCAGAGGGATGGATTAGTCAGTGTTCCCTCATTTGGATAAGCATCTGAGATAAGGTAGAAAACATTTATTTTGACTCTCAGTTCCAGATGATTTCACCTGTCATCTAGCTTAAGCCCTGGGGCATCAGGCCAACCTGGTGTGAAGAGGAAGCAGAGCAAACCTGGTCCCTTTACAGAGTGGGATGTGTAGTAGGAAAGGGACTGGAATTTCCTTATGTCCCTGAAGGGTACCTCACCTCTGTGAACTGAGACCACCCACTGGACCCTCGCTCTTAGCGTCTGCCATCTCCCAACTTGATCAGACTAGAGACTAAACCTTTAAAGCATGTCAGTTTGAAGACACGTAAGATCTAGACTGCGTACAACAAGGGCCTCTCCTCTCTGACTGGAGCCAGACCTGCTTCAGGGGGGGGAAGGGTAAGAGCTCCTGTTGTAATCTAACCCCACGGACTGGTCCTGTGAGGCTGCTGTGGCCACAGAGGTCGGGTTTAGGGTCCAACTAACATCTCTAGCCGATGATCCAGGTATTCGATCCTGGTGGCATTACCCAATTTCCAGGGGTAGAATTCCGTACACGCTAACAAATGGTGGTTTCCGGTAAGTGTGGTGAATACATACTTGTCAGCTAGAGAGGCCCACCTCAGTCTCAAGAACTCACTCAAACTCAGCATACCAAGTCCTCCTCCCAAACCTGCCATAGGGAATGTGTGACAACTGCATCATGCAGGGAGGTATAGCTGTCAAAGAGTTCTGAAGTCAGGAGCCAGGAGCAGCTTGGCTGATAGCCACCACAGCGTGTTAAGAGTCCAGGCAGCTGCCTGCAGAATTACCCATGGCTATGCCTGCCCACCCCCATGGCCCTTGGATGGAAGTGGTAGTCAGTGGGATGTCTTCGGTTTTCATGCACAGGACAGGACTGCATATCCCTGGTCACATGCATGTGTTTGTACACGCATATGTGTGTTTGTGTTTATATGTACACAAGTATATTCTGTTTCTACTTTCTGGATGGCACATAGTGGGGTTTTCCTGCTGTCTGGTATATTTAAAGGCCATTTGTCATACATGTGTGTTTCTTCAGGAGCCAGGGATGACAGTCACTTCTGTCCACTCCTCCCCATCACCATGTATAGGGGCTAAACACTTTATAGATGGGTGGTCCACTCTAAGAATTTGTTTATGATTTAAGTAGCTGAGGGTTCCTGGCTGGGTCCATCACTGTCCTTCATAGCCAGGTGTGGGGAAAACAGAGGTAACTAACAGAAGCTTCAAAGACAGTGCCCACTCTTTTACTAGGCTAGAGATATACTGGGCTGCTGAGGTAGCATGGGGCCTAGCTTGGCAGCTCATGGCCAGCCAGGCTAGGCTATGTTCCTCATGTGGCCCTCCTTCTCTCCACAGGACAGCTCTCTTGCAAGCACGCCCGCGGCTACTCCTACCTGTGCATAGCCTCGTGTGCCTGGCAGCCTTCGGCCTGGCCCTGCCACTGGCCATCAGCCTTTTCCCGCAGATGTCAGAGGTCAGTGGGGGTCCAGGGCAGGGCAGGGAGGAATCATTTATTATCAAAGACTTAACCCAGTACTGACTGCCAGTACTGAGCAGGGCTCTGTGGTGAGAGCCATACATGAAGCCAGGTGTTATGACTCATGTCGATAATAAATTGGCTGTGGCAGGGTTGGGGTGGAGGAAGCGAGGCAGGAGGACTGCTGTGAGTTTGAGGCCAGCTTAGCTACAAAGCCACTTGGAGACCAGCCTGAGCTACAGAGTGAGAATCTTTCTTTAAAATCAATCAATCCATCCATCAATCCAGTGAATGAATCTGGCCGAGGCTTAGACCTCTCAAAGATGACTGTCAAACAGCAACACAGGATGCTATGTAATAGCAAATGAAGTTCAAGGAAGGTTCGGGTAGATGGAAAGAGGCAGCTGGGCAGTCATCTGAAGGGAAGTGGTGTATCCCCAGGACTGCAAGCTGGGGTGGAGCTGACCCAGTGAGCAGGGTCTTGGGGGCACACAGGCTAGGGCTCAGCTGGTGTTAAGATTCTGAGGTAAGGCAGTACATGACACTTGATACCTGAGTGAGGTTTCCTCTGTGAACAAGAGCGGAGAGAGGTGGTAAAGCACACTGGACCTGGGTGGTGCTGGGAACTCAAAGGCTGAAGCAGAGGAGAGATGGCATCCAAAGAGCTGCACAAAGGATTCTTGGTTGTGAACGGATGGTCTCCATGGATGCTTCGTGAAGCTGAGTTGGAGCTCTGGAGAGGGAACCATCAGGAAGCTGTGGCGGGCATCCAGTGAGAGATGATGGTGGCTTGGACCAGGCTGTTGGCAGTGGGCATTGAGAAGTGGGGCCATTGGGAGAGTGGGGCAGCCGCTTCCTTGGGATTTTCGTGAAGAACTGCATGTGGCAGGAGGGGAAGGGAGCCGGCAGGATGTGCGCCTGGCTTTCTGGTTTTAAAACCAGAAGGTAGATGTAGTCACATTGTCACAAGATGGAGACGGGAAGAGGGGAGAACTGAGGTAAGACAGAGTTGAGTCAGTTAGACCTGTGGGTGGGAGGAACCCATGAGCCATGTTAGTGGAGGTACCCTGTGGGGAGCTGCATCCAGGTCTACAATCTAGGACAGTGTCCTAGGTGGCAAGGACAGGATGGAGGCCATCAGGCAGAGCCAGACTCACTGAGATGGGAATGTCCAAAGTCCTTGAGGTTAGTGAGCGTCCCTGTCCTTAGACTATGAAAGCGAGAGTGAGGCTTGGCAGAGAGCTACCACAGACCTCCAGAGCTTTTATTTATTTGGTTTTTTTGTTTGTTTTTAAATAAGGAAAAAAATGATGTGTGTGTGTGTGTGTGTGTGTGTGTGTGTGTGTGCGTGCGCGCGCGCGCACGCGCGCGCAAAAGGCAAACCCCAGGAGAGAACAGAGGACTTCAGAGAAAGAGCAAAGTCCATGAAGAGTTAAAAGGACTAGTGTACAGCCTAAGGGACCAGCCTTGGCAGGGGCAAGCCCTGTGCTCCTGGTAGCTGGTGGAAAGGGTGGGTGGATGGCAGGTGCGATTGTGGGTGGGGATACGGGTCATGACCAATCAGAGGCAAGGGCCAAGCGTACACAGAGCCAAACTGCTATTGACAACAGCTGAGCTCATGGCTAGAGAAGGCCACTTCTGAATGAGTGATTTGAGGGCCAGCCCTGCTTCAAGGAGTACTCCAAATGGAGGGCAAGCCAGGGTTCCTGGGGACAGTGGCCACAGGGGGTTTAGAGAAGTCTGAAAGCTCAGTGTAGGAGCTAGAATCACTGTCCCCTACTAAGCATCCAAGTTTGGGACACTCAAGGCTTGCAAACTGGTGTGCTATGTGAGCCTTCAGTTCCCCGTGTCCCCAGCTTTCTCCTGGGAAAGCTGAGCCTAGGAACTCCCACTGGAGCGCAGGGTTGTAGGCACCTATAAGCCCTGGAGACAGGGAAACTGTTATTCTGAGGGCTTTAGGGGCACCATTGTGCTGGAAGCTCTCCCTGTGGAAGGGACCCAGGACAGAGAACCCCCAGATCACCAAATCAGAAGCTGTCCCAAGTGGAAAGGGTCATCCCATGAGTCATCCTCCTGGCTCTACTGGAAAAGAAAGCTGTGAACAGCCATGGGATCAGCCCTGAAGCCACAGAAGCCAGTGTTGATAGGAGGGGACACTCTAGAGACCACACCCATACAGATAGGAGTCCAGTCAGCTGCTCCAAAACGCTCTCTCTAGTCAAGGCCCAGACTCCTCTGTCCCCCTCGCCTGCTCTAATGGCTTGGGAAGAACAGCATGAGGCCTTTGTCCTTCAGAAGGGAGGGCAGGAATGTATTCTTCAGAACTCCCCACTCAGCTGTGTCTTCCCCAGCAGGGTTCAGCCCAACCTGGACATTATTATAGGGTATTTTGAGGCCTGTCTGCAGCCCATGGCACCAAAGCCAATTGGCTGGGAGGCGCTCACTCCTCTGCTCACCCGCCCAATTAATTCTAACGAGGCGCTACTTCTGCAGTACAGGGATCACGTCTTGTGTCCCAGAAGCCAGGGGAATTTGCCATATGAGTCTGGACTTGCTTGAGCTGACCCAACCTTGCCAAAAATCACCAAGGCTGTCAACAGAAGTAATCGCTGAAGTACTAATTAATTAACTAGGAGACCTGGAGACCAAGTTCAGGAACTAGGATGGCTAGCTTGCTGTCACTGGTGTGGTGTCCGACTCTCTAGTCCCAGAGCGTGAGGAAGAACTTCCATTTCTCCTTCCGTGCCTAAGAGAGAGGTTTACTCCTACAATTGAGTGTTTCTGCCTTATTTAAATGGCACCAAGGGACAATTGCAAATAGTAATTATAGCTACCTTGGCTGCGATCACAGGCTAGGTCTCTGCCTGCTTTGCATTTTAACTCCTTCAAGTATAGTTAAATATCAAGATGTTACCTAGTCAATCAGCAGTGGTTGTTCACAGCCCTGGGGAGAGATCTGGCTGGAGACACAGAACCTTTGGAGCATTCAGGGGGCTAAAGCCAAGGAACAAAAGGTCAAGATTGACCCCAGGCAGGAGGATGAGGACAGGGGAGATGGAGGGAGGAGAAGCTCTGTGGAGTGAGCCACACATGGGACCTGGCGAGGTTTTTAGACCCATCAGTCTAGGAGGCAAAATGGTTGTTTTCTGTTCACAGAGTGGCTTAGAGATGGGCAGAGGAAGTCTTATAGTCCCACGAGGGAGTCCCCAGCATGTTCTGGTTACAAATGAGGGCACTGAGGCAGCTTAAAGGTAATTATGTTGTCTGAGGTTCATGTTGGTCATGAGAGAGGCAGCTTGTCCAGACAGGATTGTATCACACAGCCCAGCCTGCCCACCTCTCACATAAGAAGAGAAACCAAGCTTGTGCCCAGACTGCTCATTTATCCTCCAGATCTCCTGCCTTTCATAGAGAATCTACCTTCATATCTACGGCGACCTTCTGTGGGAATATTGCTTTGTTTTCTAATGCAGAACTGGGCAGGGTGGAGGCTTCTAGGAGGCCAGTAGGTGGGATCTGGAATAGGCTCTGAACTTGGGTATGAGTATGAGTCTGGCCTCCTGGGCCTCAAACTCACTGACTAGATGGGAAGAGTGGGGTCTGTTCTTTAACCTGGTAAGGGTATGGTGGACACTGGCTAGACAATGGCATCTAATCAACACCTAGAGTAAGTTCCCTGCCCCATGCCTCATGAAGACTAGGCTGCTTTCTCTTGTGACTGGGACAGTCTTCTAATTGCTTTTGATTTTCTGAAGCCTGTATTCTGATGTTGAAAACAACTTTAGCAACTAAATGTCCCTGGGTGTGATGGCTCACACCTGTAATCCCAGCACTTGGGAGGCAGAAGGAGGGGGATCCCCATAAATTCAAGACCAGCCTCATCTACAGTGCAAGTTGTAGGCCGGCTAAGATCACATAGGGTTGATCCTGGGCCAAACAAACAAACAAACAAAAAAGTAAAACTGAACGTGGTAGGACACACCAAGGCAAGAGGATCAGGGGCTCAAGGCCATTGAGCCCCAGCTTGGGCTACATGAGAACTGGTCTCAAAAAAAGCTGAAGTAAAATCATTTGAGGGTGACAGCTATGATGGAGGTAAAGCCAGGGGCTGTGCTATGGCTTACCCCAAGATTCCCTGAGGTAGGGTAGGTTGTGGAAGGCTCTCTAGTTGAAGAAGTCCCCATTTAGGGTGGCCTTTCTGGCTCTATCCTCTATGAAGACTAGACTTCTAAACAAGGCAAATGTGGTCACCTCTGTCCCTCTGTCTCATCTGCATGTACACTGGTGTCTCAGACTCTTTTGGGGGACATCCAGTGTTCAGGCCTTGGGTCCATAGGCTTGGCTGTTACTGGAGTCTGGATTGGGCAATGACAAATGCCCTTCCAATTCTGACAGCCAGTGTTCTCTACCTGGGAGTGTGTCCAACCCTGCGGTTTAATGAGCCTCAGGTCTCCCAGGGAGCAAGAAGCAGTGTGCTGGCCAAGCCTCGCTCACCCTTGCCTCTGCCTTTCTTAATTCCTGCGTCCTCTGGGACTCTCCCGTATCCAGGTTGCCCCTCCCCCGATGCTCCCTGGGGAGCTCAGGGGCTAAGGAACGGGGCTGCTGTACAAGCGGGAGCTATTGTTCCACAATCTGGTTTTGTCCTCATCTTGTTGGCAGGCGGCAGGAGAGGAGCGAAAGGTTAATGAGGCGCTGTGAACGGGGACTGCAGCGGGCGGGCGCCGGCTTGGTGACAGGGAGCTAATTAGGAGCAGTTTAACAGGAGGAAAAAGTGAAATCTCCTCTTCACCAACTGTCAATAATTAGCCGATTTGGTGAGGTTGAAATGTGTCCACAGGAGAAGGCGGGGCCTGTCTGGGGACGCTGGTGTGTGTGCGCGCGCGCGCCCGTGGAGGAGGAACTGAGGCTTATCGCCACCTCTAGGTGTGGGGTGTGGGGGGGTGCAAGCCATCGCGGGCTATCTTGCAGCTCCGTCTGGGCCTTTCTTCTGCCCTCTG